AGCAATATTGCAATATATCTTGTCTTTGGCAGAGACTGGGTTCAATTAGATTAAGAACATAAAAAAGAGAAAGATTCACGATGGTGAGAAACAAGAGATAAAATAGACAAGATTTGGAACAGCCTAGGAAGCCCTAAGAACGTGCTAGATAAATGGGGTGTCTTGAAATAAAAAAATAACACCTCAAGTACAAGTGGAGAGTATAAGAAAGAGTGCTTTCTATTTGAAGTCACTGCTAACCTGTTAAATTCCTATAAAGCAAAACAGGACCAAATATTAGTGCTTACACAGGGTGGCTCCACAGGAATCTCCAAAACAATCAATGTGTTAAGATACCAGCTGGCTTCCATAGCTAAATAATACACAACAACAAAATACAGTCTGCTGTTCCTCAGACAGTCTCTTCCTGTTAAGAGGATCATTTAGAAGTTGTCCAAGTTTCAAAAGATCCGAAGGCACTCACTGTAGCCGTTTTTCTTTTCCACTGAACTTGACAGGAAGCTTATCATCGAGTCCAGTTTCAGTTCTACTTGAGTTCAGTTTGAAGACCACAAGCCTGATAGTGCATGGAGCAACCTCACACTCCAGGCTCATGTTCTCTTGATGGCAAAAAAAGAAGATTCTTCCCTTTTATCTTTGCAAGTCAGCCAAAATTACCAATAAATTATCCACAAGTACTTTCAGTTCAAGTGTCAATTCCCTGCAATTGTGATTTAAACTGGCACTGCTGTGATATTTGCATCTTTCAAAGACAGAATTTGCAAACATCTGAATAAACAAGGCTATGGAAAGCCAGCAGGAGTACACGTTGTTGGACACATTACCAACAGAGATAGTAAAAAAAACTGTACAAATTGAGAATTTTGTAAACTTCGAGGAAGTTTAGTTCTAGTACAACAGTCGTAAGATCAGCGGAATCCACCCCTCCAACATATATCCCATACCCAAAAAGTCTTTGGTTAACAGTATTACGTAGGACAGTTTTCCATACCTTTTTGATTTAGTGCTACAGAATCAGTTTAATTTTCAGAAAATTCAGTTTTCTCTTGGCATAAAACACTTTATAAAAGCTCAGTACATTTCTTGGCCGTCTATCTTAATTGCTCATAAAGATTCTCAGCCAAGTGCTTCTAAAAAATTAACAAAAAACCTACTACATGCTAATTCCCCAGGCTTTTTATATTTCTAGTCAGTTCTCTCAACGTCAAGCGTTACCCAATGATAATGTACATTGGCTTGAAGCCATCATCTTCTTTTTAAGCTTATTATGAGTACAACACACTAAGTGGTGTATCCCGAAGGAAAAGAGCAGGGAAAATGTTGCTGAAACGTATCTGCTAACATCTATCCATGTAAAAAACAGTTACACTTCCAAAAGCACATATTCACTTTACAGAACATCCAATAGGGCAAAATTTTGTTAGTGTTAGTTTCTGTATGAAACAAATTTATTTATCTGTTCAACTGGCATATAGCCACATACGAAAATATATCTTTGAAAGCTACTCTTGTTATATATGCATCTCCAATAATTACTTGCATTAATAAAATTCTGGTTTACATAGTCTGATTCTGAGCAGCTAATGAGAGATTTCTTTTTAATTTGGGGGGTTGTGTTTGTTTCTTTGTTTTTTAATGAGCTGTGGATTAAGGATAGGAAAATGGGTGCTTATTGCAACTTGTTTTCAAGGCCTAGGCCCGTATTTGGTTACCTTTACTGCATGCCTGAACTTTTGTCCACAAATAAACATATTGAGCCTTTTACTTAAGCAGAGATTCTGTCTGCTGAAATCCTGAATCCTTTAGCCCACCATTTCTAACATTTACCTCCACTCCATTAGCAGTAGAATCCCCCGCAAATATATCTATGGGCAATTAATTCACATAATCATATGTCGCTGGTTGATTCTTTAGAGGAAGCTTACTGTTTAACTTTTGATACTCTCTCTTTAGCTTGTCTCAAAAGGATATTTGATTGGGAATAAATTACTGAAGTTATTATGACTTTTCATAGTTCGGGATATTCTTGCATTTTCCATTTCTCTCCCTTAAACAGACTTATTATTGAACTTAAATAAAACATCTAGCGAGTTTTTGGTGGTTTTTAACACAGAGGAAAGCAGTTATAGTTTTTGCCATATACAAGTGCATTTCAACTGAAAAATGAAAACGTGGTGGAAGTAAGGGTAGCGATATTACTGTGTAGAACTGCTTGCCTGGAACAAAGGTGCACAAGCCAGCCAGAGCTCAGCTCAGTCTGCGGCCGCCTGGTGAAGCGCAGGGTGTACCCACTGCACCACAATACGGCCACACTGTTTAAAGGTGAGGTCTGCCCATCCACACAGCTCCCTCCTTACACAGCATCAGGTCAAACGAGGGAGGATGAAATGAGGATGACTGCACCAAACCTGACCTCTGTGCAAGGTACGTAGCCAGTTCGAACACTAGGAAAGCCTGGACTAAAGCACAGGTTTGGCACCATCATTGGCTTACTGTTTAAACATAAAGGGGAGCCCACGGGGCAATAAATTAAGTTTATTTACGTTTAGGTTTTTAATGAGTAAGTTTTAAGTGCTCATTGTGATGGTTTTCCATTTCAACCATTTACTAGATGTTAAGGATGACAGGACCACCATATTGCCTGAGCTTCTGCCTACTAGAAAGCCATGTCTTTGATGAAAGACATCTTCTTGGGATGCTGACATCCCACAAACTAAAGCATGCCCTATGCTATAAAAGCGTGCTCCTCTGATTCGCTTTTGTCCAAAACTTTCTCTGCAAAACCTTTCCACACCTAGTGACAAGACACGATTCCTCTGTTCTGCTCGGAACTCAAATTTTTGTGTTCTCGCATTCCTCCTTGTGCACTAAAGAATCTTTCCAGGGATAAGCAATCAAAATTACCATTATGCAACATACATCACTGACTCCTGCAGGATATTCCCCAATAACAGGGAAATGATTGGCCAGTGACTCCCCCAGAGTCAGCTACTAACAGCTCCAGAAATATTCTAATTTCTAATCATCTGATTATCTAATAATCATCTAATAAATGGGTTTTCCATAAGAGCATGAATTTGTACAGTGGATCTGTCTCAGGCTCTCTTAGGACTTCGAAAGCCCTTAGTTCGGGCATCTGTATAACCACACTTTATAAATGTCTCTTTTCACAACTGACACGTTCTTTCTCTCTGTGCTGTACAGAAGTTCACTTGAACCAGAGCAGCCCAACCAGTGAATTCCCCAGCTACAGTGAAAATGGGAGTGATACCAGTTTACTTGTTTCACCGCTTCTGGTGGCTGGAGTAGTGATCGGACTTGTGCTGTTTCTATCCTGTGTTACAATCATTGTTGGCAGTCTGCGAAAGGACGGACGGTTGAGACACCCACATCTGAGGAGAGATGCTGTTTATGGTAAGATAGCTAGTTATAACAAGAGAATGCTTAACTTTATTAGTGTCTGGTGCTATGGGCAACAAAAAGCCTCTGGCCACTGTGCAAGGGATAAAGAAATAAAACCATTAAAAAATGGGATGAGTAGGTCACAGGCAGCTTTGTAGTTTAATACCATCTTCATGCTGGCACTGAATTCACATAGTACCAGCTCCATAGTTAATGGTTAACAAACAAGGCCAATGCCAACAGCAGTTCTTAAACAGCTTATTCCCTTGATCACAGAATGGTTTAGGTTGGAAGGGACCTTTAAAGGTCATCTAGTCCAACCCCCTGCAGTGAGCAGGGACATCTTCAACTAGATCAGGTTGCTCAGAGCCCTGTCCAGCCTGACCTTGAATGTTTCCAGTGATGGGACATTTGCTACCTCTCTGGGCTACAGTATAAAATTTCTTCTCCATCGCTAGACTCCTGATTGTTTTTTTTCATATCCCCTTATAGCCTCAGTATAGTGTGAAATGTAATTTCTATTTGTTGGAAAGCCAGGAATCTTTTCACTTCTGCAGTGTGCACCAACCTACAATGACCGGGCAATTACTTATTTTCTGACCACATAAGTTAGTAACTGGATATAAACAGAACAACAGGGCGTCAAAATGTCATTTCAACTGTCATCATCCTTAAAGCAACTGGTTTGCTATCAAAAAAGTGCCAATTCCTAAAGCCCCAACAGTCATGACCCATACTTTAAAAGGATTTGGGAATATGAAGGAATTAATTGTAGAATTACATTTTTGGCCAATTTTGGGTTTGCTGACCGCAAGTTAAAATCCACTTTGTCAAGGAAATGATAGAATTTGATTATTTCTATATTTAAGGAAAAAGTAGTTACAAAAAGTTACTTTGTAAGTCTTCAGCTAGTAAAAATTCAAATTTTAATAAGTGGATTAATGAATTGAGTGGAGCATCAACAGTTTTTGTCATCTGTGGTTAGGCTCCTATATCTGCAGTTTGTTGCAAAAGTACACTTCTTTGCATATTGTTCAGTTTTCTTATTATATTTTCTATATAAACAATAGTGAGCCACATAAAAATGCATTGGCTCAAATCTTGATTTCACTGAGGTAAATCAAGTATTCACTGAAGTCAAATGAAATTCATTTAATTATTTGGACCAGGAATTTTCATGTCTAAAGAAACACATTTCCTAGTATCAGTTCATCCACCTGGAGCCAAGATTAATTATTCTTGGCTTTTCCAGAAACATTTATCTAGGTAAGTGAATAATGTCTGTGTTTTGGGAATAAATTTTAGACTCCAAAAGTAGTGAAATGGTAACATACAGAGGAAAAAAAGAAAAAAAAATTCCCTAATGTCTGCTATTATTGTAACATCTACTTTTCAGCAGCTAAATTTGGGATTAAATAGTTAAACCCAAATTGGAGTTACTGTTTTACCTGTGAACAGCAATATTTTGGCGTGCTAAAATATTGACCATCCAATCACTCCATTTAAACCTACTGCTAAGTTAGTTTCAGCTCCTTTAAAAATCCTGAAGCCAAGCAAAACCATAAAGGACAATTTTCAAACTGCTTGTTGGAAATAACAATGCTAGAGAAATGGGAAAAGAAAAGCACGTTGACATTTTCGGAGAAATTTAAACGATTAATCTTAAACTAAATTGTTCCAGTCTACCCAAGTAAAAATTTTAAATTAGCACATGCCATGCTAATCTCTCAGCGTGCTTCCCTGGCCAGCATGGGAGCAGCGGGAATCACTGTGAAGTTGGCTTCCTTCACTTCTCAAGCAAAAGGAAAGCACAGTGCGTGATAGACTGGATTAGTCTTGGTAAATTCCTCGAGAAAAAACTGGCAGAGGTGAAAACTGCCAGAAGGAGGAACAGGCAGCTCAAGTGAGTCCTGTCCCTTATCCTCTGGAGAGAGAGACTACTTTGATGTCACGTTGAAGCTGACCCTTCTCTCCAGGTACTATTTTAATGCATCGAGTGAAAAGCAGTGATCACTTTGTTGGGAAGACATTTTGGACATCGTTATGGAAATTTACCCATCTACAGATGATGCTAACTTGCTTTTAAAGGAATAGAAATGTCCTGTGAAACCTGATTGTTCTAGAATACCAGTAATTCCTCTGCCTCAGATAGATTTTATTTTCTGATTTATGGCAGTGTTATAAACAGTGATACTGTCTCAGAGAATCCACCATGGAGGAAAAGAGCAGCAAGTATTAATTGCTTGTTTTCCAGCTCCAGATGGCTTCTCCTACGGTGGCTCTTTTGGAGAGCTGAGATCCACCTGCATGGAGGAGTTCCCCCCAGCTTTTGATTTTGGTTCCTATATGGATACACTTTCTCAGGTCAACATCATGTATCCCGATTCACCTCCACGGTAAGCACTTTTCTAAGATTCTGAGTGTTATAGTCCTGCGCTTGGAAAGCCTGTTAAGGAAAATAAAACTGCTAAACCTATACCCACTATGAAAATGTGCAGGTCACACAAATTCTAAATACAGACAGACTTTGTTTAGTTTGCGTGTAAGTTCAAGTTTTTCTTAGCAGAATATATCTTTACTAAATAGAGGCATGTGTACAGCCAGTTCTTATTTACTAATATTCACATTAAAATTTATCATACTGATGGAATACTAATGAAACACACAAATAAAATTGCTTTCATAGAAAGATGTCCATAAGTCATGATTGTACAAGTCAGGGTTCCACTTCCAGGAGAAAAATGTATACTTTTTTCCATAACTTTCAGGTTACATTTAATACTGACCTTGAGACTTTAGATCAGAGTAAACAGGAAAAAAAAAAAGGAAAGGCAGGGGGGTGAGGGAGGGAAGAAGTGCAAGAAACCTTTAAATCTTTGTGTTTTTCAGCAAGTCTCACTTCTCAGCTTTCTTAACCCCAGTATTCTATCAGAAAGTAGAACTGAAATAAACATACCATTCTGACGTACCTAATAATTGTACTTAACCTCCCAATTTTGAATAGGGAGAAAATTGTTTGGAATTGTTCACCATGTATCAGCAATCTGTTAAGGAGGAGAAGAACGACCATTTAGCTGTTTAACCCAAACCTGCTCTGGAGAGCCACAGTCGCCTAGATTGTAGTAGCATCTTTGGAGAAGACCATCCTTCAGATATCAGGCAGTTCTAATTGCCTGGGGAGGTAACGTCGCCAGAAGAGGCTCTTTCCAAAGACAGTTGTTCCAAAAATTATATAGCAGCTCATTCCACATTTGAGTGCCTGCATTCACAGGATACAAGCATGGCCATCACAAGTGACAGGAGTCGTACTTTAGGCCATCTGTATCTCCTCTGTGTGCCTTATGTACTTTGAGGTTAATAAATGAAGGAATTCAGTTACTCCCTCCAATGAACCAACAGAAATCGTTTTAAACAGAACATCACTTCTGGCTTTCTGTAGTGCTGTATCTTACAAACAGCAAATCATGTTTGAGCAGCCGTACACCCCTGTTGTTTTTTTTTTTCCCCCCCTTCCTCTCTTCTTTTCTTCCTTTTAAGCAGACTCAGAATGTTCTGAGTTAAACCAATATGCTCATAAGAGCTTTTCTGACTGGTTGTATACACATGCAACACAGAGCAAGTCAGTAGTATGAACATAGAATATATAGGTCTTTTCTTTTTCTATTCTATGCATGTTCTACAAGCAACCCTTTAGGTATTACAAAGTCATACTATATAATAAATGGGCTTTTAGAGATGATGTAAATATTCTAGCAGAAAGCTCACATGTGAAAAATTATTCTGAGCTTGGCATCTAAATTTGTAGAACTTCATATAAATCTACTTAAAAATTTAAACTGATTTTTGGACCCACACCCACGAGTCTTTACTAATAAAAGCCAGCCAGCTGACAGCCAAGCAACAGCTTGAGTGGGCAGTTGGCCAGATTTCTGAGAACAAGCTCAGACTCCTGTGAACAAGCTCTGAGAACATTTCTTTTGCAGACAGGTCTCCTAAGATTACACCAAAGGTTGCTTCCATTTTCAGTTTGAAACAGGCCTAAAGGAGGATTTTCCACCTCTATGGAGTTCTCTGGAAGGAGATACATGAGAGATGTACTAAAGAGAGATGGCGCTAGATGGTCTGAGCTTTCCTGTAAATTCTCCAGCTACTTCTGTAATAAGCCTGGCAAAAGTTAACTCTCTTGTGGCCTACCTTGTTCTAAGAAACTATTCTGGGACATCAATACTAGGATCAGAGAGACATAAAGGTGTCCAGCCACTGCCTCCTGAAGATTCCCTTCTGGGCTGAGCGAGCTCCAAGATCTGACTCAGCAGACACAAGGAAACACTGCTTATGCCATTAATTGCAGTTCTGCGTGACAGGTTAAAAATAAAGGTTATTGTTAATGGTTTTGCTGTTTACTCACTGCTACCATAGTTAAGTATTTTAGAAAAAGTAGCTTTGGCAAATCATCAAAATCTTATTTACATCTTAGCAACACAACTTGGAAAAAACTCCAGGAAAAGTAGAGCTTAGCAGATGGCTGTAAGCAAAGCTATGCTGGGAGACATTTACACTTACTATTAATACATTATATAGTCCATTGTAACTTTCTGTTCAGAAAAGTATTGGTTGAGAAGCATTGTATGAATACGTTGCATTACGTAAAAGCCTGAAAAAATTTCTGTATAGCTACTTTTACACTCTCCTCCATGGCATAACACTGAAGTGTATTTTTTCTAATTAGTAGAGCATGGAGATTATTTGGACTGATGGGTGCTAACAGCAGCAAAACTGACTGCCAGAGACGCCCTTGAAGCATAAACAAGACATGCTTGACCTTGTGCATTTAAAATATTAACTCACTGGGATCAATCTTGTTACACATGATAATGTTTTGAAGAGTAGGTTTGTTGAAATGTAGCACTGGCTAAATTAATGCAATTCCTCCTTCTAATTCATGCAGTGCATGGTGCAATTGAAAGCTAAACTAGCATGCCCAAAAGCTAATAATGCAACTGTAGCATAAACAGAACAGAAATAGAGAGCGGTGAGAAAAGCAACTGCATTGGCAAATAGCTCTCAGCGGATACTTGAAGTGAAAGAATTCAGTGAGTGAGAACTAGTGTCCTGCTGCCACGAGCGGACACCAAGGCGTCCGCGTCATTTAACCGCCGCGCAGCCTGCAAGAGGCAGCAGCATTGCATCCCCGTGCGCCAGGTGCTGCAGGGCTGAGTATTCTCGAACACACCGTTTTTGCTAAAGCCATACTTCCCGAAATTATTTCAGTAGAAAGCACAACACCTCTATTTGGCCAAGGGGGTGATTATAATCCATCTAGAATGTTTTCATTTGGTTTTACAGGTGGCCTTTAAAACATGAAATGAGTAGAAAAGGACTTTTAGGGGAAGGCTGATGAAACAGAGGTCGGAGTACCCATTTCTATGGCTGAGGGAGCACTGACTGCTCAGGACTGCCCACTCTTGACTCTCCAATTGCAAGTCCAATGCAGAAATATTATTTCTATAAAAACTTTAATTGGGAAGTTAATTTATGAAAAATGCCTTGGGATGTTAATAATTTAATTGCTTTGATATCTAAATCACAAATTTCATTTGAGGCTCAATTTGATTATCACCATAGACACTTCCACTAACCACTTTCTAACATCAGATTTTACGTCCAATTTAGAGGAATGCCATGCACTGAGTTTTGTCATTAGCCTGCTACTGTTGCAGGGTGGTTACAGAGATGCCATTTGGTCAATTTGTCTTGACAGCCCCAAACATACAGCACTCCTATCCATAAACATCTCCTTAGGACAATTAATGACTTCCTAATGAATCTCAGATGTGTGTTAGCATCTGTCAGATTGATTTTACTTGAAGTGTAGAAGGGAAATACAAAAACAAAATACAGTGGGTATGCACTAAGCAGTTTCAAGATACTGGGGGGGGATGTATTTTAGAGCCTATTTCTAACACATACAGATACTTGTAGCAGTGCTGGAAGTTAATTTAACGTTTCATTGTCTGTCTTATGAGAGATGGCAAAGGATTTGTTTCTAAGAAACTTAAGTCATCTGAGAAAGATGATCCGGTGATCTAGCAACAATTCTAAACCACAGAGTTGCTCTCCCTTCAAATTAAGAAACTTGAACAAATTCAACCAGGACAAAATTTTTGTAGTCAAAACTCTTCTCACACTACAGCCTGCTTGTTGTGATGCTAAGGTACAAAGTTCTCTTAGCTTTCTGTCATCAAAAATACCTCTTAAGACACTGTATCATCTGACCAGCCTTTCTACACCTGCCCCACTTTCACTCTACAAGCACAAGCTATTACTGCGTATAAAAGAAAAACCTGCAGCAGTGAAAGCAGAAAAACCTGATGAAAGAGGCTGACTTCAGCTGTATAGGAGGAGGCGCCACTTAAGTACATCTGCTTATTCTTGCGCTATCATTCTCCTAATTACTAGGCCTCAACAAAGGTGTTCCTTTTTTAATAAAGATGTTTTGGCTCTTCATTCTAAGTCACTATTCAAGAATTAAACTAAGTGAATGAATGAGACAATCAGTAACGGATGGTATTATATGAAAATATTAAACTAATGCTTAGTAAATCACTGACAAAGCATGCAAAAGAAAAGTCAGAATATAGTTAGCAGATGCTCCTAGTATCTCAAATGGAAACTGTCATTATCAAAAAAAAATACGCTATGAAAACATTGTCTCATGACATACGTCACTATAAGAGCCGTTCTGTCAAAAATAATGCATTTCCTCATGGTAGTTACACATCTCCAAAGATTATATGCATTCTGAGAAAACACACCTCAAAGGAAACACTGACATTTCTAAGCTGCTGTCCTACAAACCCAGCTGTTAGTATATTGCATGATCAGAGATAGTATCATCAGCTGAAGTAAACATGGTCATCAAACACTTTTTTTTCCTTTAATCCTCCTTTTAGAGAGTTACAGTATATTTGTTCTAATTTAAACTTTTCTTTATTAGGTAACAACATCATATAAACATCCTTTGTGGTGTTTTCATCATAGCTCAAACCTGTCACCACATAGTATTTTCCAGATTTAGTGATTCTGTTTGCCATTATTAAAAGAAGACAATAGGTCATCAGCAAAATGGAAACAATGCAAAAGGAGCAATTTTAGTAGAGTCATAACGTGTAACAAATGAACGAAGTAAACAAAAAGACATCTATTTCATAAAGAAGAATTCCGTATTCCCCAGATTTTTTTCGCTAGCTATTGTTTGCATCTTAAAAAAATTCTGTAAGTAGAACCTTTTTCTTTCCCCAAAGAGTAGGTCGTAATTTATGAATGACAGCTAGTTAAATAAGCTCTTTTGGCTCTCCTTGGCAACAAACCTATCCTAATACTTATTGCAATGAGACCTGACAAATTCATGAAGTTATTCCCCCCTTCCCCCCAACATTTTGAGTCAACAAGGTCAGCTTGAAGAGCTGCTGTATTTTTTAAGCACCATTCTTCTCTTTGCAGATCACATTTATATGCAGTAAGATGATGTTAACAGACATCAGTCCTCCTTGCCTTTCCTAGTATAATTATCTGTTAAAAACTCAATAGCATAGTCTACAATGACAATTAAGTTATTCTGACAAGACACAGGGCCCAAAAAAAAAATATATAAACAACAGCACATTCCATGGTCAGTAACCCCTTCCTTCTCATGACTGCCTGTAAGATAATATCATTTTTTAAAAATAATGAATTAAAGTGAATTCACCACAAGTACTGTAACTAAGGATTTTCTTCAGGGCTGAAAGAGACATGATATTCATGAGATGCAGTGTAATGAGTTCCTGTGGTGGTCCATTATTAAGTTATGGTAACATAATACTTTTGAAAACCATTCGCTTTCATGTCTAAAAGGATTTTCCTGTGACTGCTGTACTGAACTTCAAGCGTCAGCTACTTTTCACATGTACAATAACTTTACAGAACTGAATCTCTCAGAGAAAACAACTATCAAAACACAACCATCAAAACAAACCAAGAAAAACAAACAAACAAAAATAAAACAAAAAAAACACACACCACAACATACACACACACAAAAACCCATGCACACAATCTTTATGCAACAGGGCAGGGGATGCTCTCTCCCAATGACATGGACACTGTCTCACGTACAGCACTGAGCTTTACAGCTGCCACCTTCTCAGATGAAATCAACAGCATTAGTACCATACTTAAGTGACCTGCACATAACAGTATAATTTTAATTAATTTTTTTAATCATCATTACTCATTGTTACGAATTCACAGGTTCTTTTTAATGGTAGCCATCATTACATAGTACATCTTGCCCCCTCCGGTCTCCATACAAGCTGATGAGAAAGCAGCTTCTTCATTCTATTCTGGTTTGCACTGTTTGCAAGTAAAAAGAAAGAAACCTAAAAGCTATGTCAAAGGTGCAGACCTCACACAGCAGGACAACTTGGCAGTACCACGTAATTTGTGATACACACCTCACTGCAGTGAAATGCAAGAGTCCGCTCACCTCTTCCCCTCAAACATGAAGCTTTATTTTAAGACAAAAGTAAGGATTTAGTCCAGTATCACTCACATCAATACATGGTAATCAACTGCAAGGAATGATTGCTATTACAGTTTTTTTATAAGTAATCCTTTCAATCTTTTGAGGAATGATTTTCCAGCTACCAATATACATGGACAGCGGGTACCTGTCAAAGTGTGTACAACTTCTTAATAATACTTGCTTAGAATCCTCTAATAAAAATAGAACTGGTAAATAGTAGATGCATAAGTTTACATATGGTCTCTTTGAAGGAGACACTGTGCTTTCCTGTCTGCAAAATAAAATTCATGCTTGCAGTGTTGATAATTCATTATACTGCAGGAATACCTCTATAGCAGAACTCTGAAAGCACCAAATTACTGAGGCTGTTAAACAATGGGGAGGGGGGGAACAAACAAACAAACCAACCAACCAAAACAAAAAAGCCAACTACAAAACACTCAAAAGCTAGGGGGAAGGGGGGAAATTACAAAGTTAAAGTTGCTTGTATGATCTTAATTCATCTCCTTTCTGTCCTCAACAGAAAACGCTAGCAACCTTATCTGTAGCCTCCTCTAGCAGTATCACAGCAACAGCTGTTTGCACTGTCAGCGTTACAAGCAAAGATACCATACTCAGAAGAGAATATGGGAGACTGAGTATCAGGACCATTAATTGCTAATGAAATACAATAAGTTATTTTAAAAAAAAAAAAAAAGTATTTGAATGATTTGCAGTTGCCTCCTTGCCATAACAATCTGTAGGTACAGTTGTGAAGATGCCAAAAAGTTACTTAATTGAAAGTATGGCATGTGTTCCTTACTGCCCTATTCAATTTTTAAAATGTAAAATTAATTGGCAAAAGTGAGAGGGGGAACATTACTTGCATTGGAGTTTGAAGAAAAAGAGAGAATTATTTTCTATCCATTGTGTGTATGAAGAAAAAGTGCCCTAGCACTATTATATTGATATTTGGAACTAAACACTAAAATGCCGGGTCTCGAATACCATAATTTCCTACCCATTTCTCTTGATGTTTAAAAGTCTCCTTCACAATAGATCATTTTGCTATTTATCCCACCGAGCATTTTAGTTCTACAGAGCTGAACTATGGTCCATGAAAGATATTTAATTAAATCTAAGGGAAATAAACGCAGATGATCAGGTAACAACAGTAAGTAGACAGTTCATACTGTGCCCATTTCTGCTTTAGGCCTGTGGCAGATTTCCCTTGCTTTGGGCCCAGGCCCAGATTCAGGACACAGAGAAGGTTCTTCTCTTTTGTGTCACAGCAAAAGGATTCAAAATTTTCCATCTTGAAATTCACATTACTGTCGGCTTTTCAAAACTGAAACCTTTTTACTATGGTAACAGGATCCAGTAAGTGCTCTTCATTAGCCTGATTAAGTCCGTCAAAATCTGTGGACAGGATTTTAAATAAATTCACTGGGCTTTGGGTCCAGTTACAGCAAAATGTAAATTAAGTAAAGATGCAGCTCATAGTAAGTAATCCTGCAAAGAGTGGCTCTTCCTTTACTCTTGCTGAGTTCATGAAGAGTTGAGTTGGGGACATCAAGTCCTCGATCTCTGACTGAGGTCTAAGATCTTAAGAGAGTACGCTTGAAAGCTTCAGTGGGCTTAAGAGGCTGGACTGAAATCTTTTCCACATGCTATACAAAAACAATTTGACCTCCTATGTGCTGGGACTTGTTTCTGAAGTATCTAGCAGCCCTATTCACAACGTTCAGAATAGAGTTTGGAATGAGTTTCGGAATAGAGTTCGGAATGGTTTTAAATACCATTCTTTCTGATAGGGAAATCAAAATTTTCTGGCTTGAATTTAAAACCATTGTCTTCATGAATATAAAAATAAGATAAAAGGGGCGTAAAAATAAAAACACCTGTGGTTATTTGAGTTACTTAGTAACCTAATGCTAAGATTTCACTTTCTTACCTTTCCCAAAAACCACTTCCATCACCCCGACTAAGAACACTACCATCAAAATCAACAGGAGCACTCTGAGGGAAAGGTATGCAGCAGAACCAGGTATTTTCCTAAGGCAGGGCCTCCATGGTTGATCGCAGTAGATTTGAGCGTGCTCTGACCATTGCAAGCTGCCCTGCTGCAAGCCACTCACAATCTACAAGGAGGGTTTATTAGCTTGGGTTTAGCCTGGCAGTAATGCAATTACAGGGGGCAGAATGACTGCCTGCAGTCTACTGGGAAGACATATGCTAAATATCCTAAGTTTCAGGAAATATCCTAGATCTTAATAGCTCTGCAGTTAGTGTGGTTGAGGAAATGGGTTCTTAATTTGTCTGGCTCCAGCAGAATTGTTTTTCAGCTTAACTGAGTAGGCGAAGGTTTTTTACTGAAAACATTCCTTCCTTCAGAATTGGATTTAAAATGATCCTGAAACAGTTAACCAAGGCAGCCACAGACAAAGCAGGTCCAATATTTAAGATGATGCTGTTATGACTCCTCCTCACTTTGCCTGTAGCCAGTGAGCCAGGAAAACAGGACCTTCCTTCAGACCACTACATCTGGGTTGGTTTGGTAGCAAAAGCGGAGTCAGCTTTAGTTTGCGGACAAACAGGTGATGCTGGAATAGCCAACAGCAGATCACCCAGATAACGGACCAGATTCACCAGTTCTGGTTCAGCCCTCCTTGGGGCCACGGTGCAAATCTGTGCAGAGCCCTTAAGCTCAGAGGGCTGGGCATGGTACGCACACATGGAGCCTGCTTATGTCCGCTCTGTCCGTTCCCATCCCCTTCCTGCAACACAGAACATGGAAAAACACAAGTATAAGACACTCTGGTCTATCCCAGTTCATTATTTACCCCTCGTGGGCCTCCCTAGGCTGTGAAGTCCAAGCTCCAATCTAAACCACCTGCCTGTATTCACACCGGGACAGCAAGCGCTGGGCACAGTAGTGGAATGAGAAGGTAATAGTTTCCTCTGGCTCTAGCTTGGTGGCACAGACGGAACTATGAAGCCTGGAGAGACCTGAGCTGGCTCCTCACAGAAATCCCACAAATCAGTCTGTCTTGTATTCCTCCTTTTTGGGAGGAATGCAATGGGGAGTCTGCCAAGTCTCAGAATGACCAGCATGAGTCTGTCAAGATTATTCACCACAACTCTGCATCTCAGCAAGAAATTCTGCAGCCCCTGCCAGCACAGATCTGCAACCCAGACAACCCACCAAGTAGCTGCTGGCTGAGCCCAGAGACCTGTGAGTCAGGAGGACAGCATTTGATGTGATACTGGACTTCAGACTCCATCTAAAGCTCCCTATACCTTATTTCTTAACTAAAACAGCAACACCACTTCCTTTTCCCCAGCCGTTTTCTAACTTAGCTGCTTACAAGCAGCTGAGAGCAGGAGCAGACGCCCGCTGTGCTGAACCTACAGCGACTGGTGCGGCGTGCACAGCTTTGCGTGAGCCAGCAGTGTTATCCCTCCGGCTCCTGCGCAACCGGCTGTAAGGAGCTGAGCTTATCCTCGGGCACCTCAGCTGAGCAGTGCTGCCAAAGATACTACTTTCATGCAGGAGGACAGGGTCTGAACTGTCACTGAGACCTCTGGGATTATCTTCAGGTATTTCAAGATGTGCTTTTAAGTATTGTGCTCTGAAGTGTCTCACATGGCAGGATGAGCAAGGATGTGGGCTGAGGAACAAAACACCAGACGATCCTTCTCTTCTCACTTTACCTGCCCCTGCTATGCTGAAAATAACATACTGTGGCATTTTTCACAGGAATCTAATGAAAAAATCTTTTTTTTCTTTCAGCTACGACGAATGTGTGGGGCCAGGAGCAACACAAATATATATTCCCACAGATGATCCCCCTCCATATTCTCTTATGGACCCTTGTCAAAGAAGTGAAATATCTATAAACATTAGCCTGGAAGAGGAAGCAGCATTTGGGACTACAGGACAGGCTGCAAATTATGCAGTCAGGCTGCAGGACTTGCAGCAGCCCATTTCATCCATCTCTCTGCCGTCTCTCACTATGGAGGCTGCTCCCCTGTATGAGACAGTAGTGTGTGAACAGAATATCCCCATCCCACTCGTTCCAATGGAAGCACTGAAAAATTCTTCCACTGAATATCACAGCCTTCTGAACCAAATCATGTGAATAAAAGTGGCTCTTGCCTTCAGTTCTCCTGAAGAACTCAGACCGACAAAAACATTTAAGTGGAAGAATAAAACCTCTGAAAGTTTTACCTATTTTATATCTTTAAACAGGGATGCATTGGGATTTTATTTTTTACAGTGAATTTTGAAAGTTTACCTATACTTCCCTCTTTGTGCTTCAGCGTTCCATGGCATCACACAGCATAAAAGAGCAGGAGTGACAAGCAGTGCATCTGACCTTTTTGAGGCATTTCAAAATGCGTTGAAATCAGCCACTCTTAATGTAGATACATGTTATCTAGTCAAGCCTACTTGTTGATTTTATGATACTTTGCATGTTTTAGAGCAGAAGGAAAAAGAAGAGCGTTTTGTTGTCTTTGTAGGTGTCCTACTAGTACATTTCATTCAGTGTCTTGGCAACAAAGCATTTTTAAATAATTCTTTGTCTAAACATGTGTTTCAGTAGAGAGAGACAGAACACTGCCTGCAAAACATGACTATCAGTACTGTATAGGAGCAAAAGAAAAAGGAGAATAATATTTTGATAGTCACATTTTTCCAGACCATTGCAAAGCCTGCTGTAAGTCTTCCTCCAAAGAAACCAGCGGCAAGTGATGGAGAGGTGGCAATGGATCCCCCAGCACCAATTGGCTTTACCTACGGAAGCTATACTGCAGCTGTGCGCGGGCCTGGGAGCTGCATGCCCTGCACGGGGACTTGATATAGGCAAGGGAAGGGCAGTGTCTGGAATCCCAGAAAATGCTTCATGCCAATTCCCATGCATGATTATTTTCAGACACTAAGTGGTCTCTTTCTTCAGTAAGGAGCCCATAGCATTAAAAAGGACCTTGACCTCTAGTAATTGCATTAGTGTGATGTAAATAATAGATTCTGGACTTGGCACGCACACTGGCAGAGAACCTCACTTTGTGCAGCAAGCTCTGTGTTAGGTATGATCTTTTTCACTGAAATTTTGCTACCCAAATACAGCCTTCGTTCATAGACCTGGGCTTCTCACACCTTCATGTGCCAGACACATACAAGGTGGAGGTGCACAGTAGCAGGAACAGCAGAGATACACTGCAGATGGGAGAGTTTAATCTTACATAGTACACAAGCACTCCGTCCCCACGTAAGGGCTAAACTACACGTTCAACCAGTACTAGTTAGCAGAGTTATCAGAGGCTCATCTCCACTAAATCTCTTAGAGGTATTTTCACTGAAAAAAACAACTTTGTTACACTGATAAAACAGACTTCAGTTTACTGCCCCCACTGAAGGATATGTAAAAATGAGTATAGTAAATATATGACTGTGTTTAAAAGGCAGCATCATCCAAATTATTAAAATTGCACTTAGATTTTCTGTAAATACTAAATAATTTTCAACTGTAATCATCATTCAACACTCCAAAGATTGACACAATTATAATTAATACTTAGATGGGAAGTAATTATATGGTTCTTACTGCTGTATAAATTATACCATTACTGAGTCACATGCACGTGACGAGATAAGGTAAGTATGCGTTTTTTGCTACGTAGATGAGAGCAAATATGTATTTTGCTAAAATAACAGACTTCTTTTGCAGTTCAGCAAGATTTTCAATATTCTCAGTATACTATACCCAAAACAACAAAAATTCACAACTTTGCATTGCAAAACTGCTGGCAGGCATTGCCAGAATGTAGGCTGTATTTCACATTTGTATTTTTAATGGACAGAAGTCTTCCTCTGTATAAAGCATTCGTGTAAACAGTTTTGTGGCATGCAAAGTATCTTGCAATAAGAGAAGCAAAACTCTATACCATCTATTAGGGGTCAGAAACTAAAACCAACATAGAAACGCACCAATTTTACAGGCAGGAAAATAAAAAGTGAAGGAAAGCACAGAGGTTTCTCTGTGCAGAATAGGACATGCTTTCATAGCTGTGTCTTCCTGCAGCTCTTGGAGACCTGCCTAGAACATGGTAAGGAACTGGGACCAGACCCTGCTTACTTCAGGCTGCTATTGAGGAGGTACAGGAGGAAACAAATATTAGAAACGAAATGTGATTTTTTTCTTTTTTCCCCCCAAAAACTGAGTGTCTCTTTTACTGTAACATGGTAAACCTGAAGGTTCTTCTGAAGGCAAGTACAGAGGGCTTTTTTCATCTGGCAGGCAAGTGTCTACTCTGTTACAGGTGCTTACAGTTTCTGTGCATTTTGGGAAATCCTTTCAACCTGCTTGGCTTTTAACCTGGCAGGGATTTCATGACCTTCCATTAACTTTGTCGTTTACAAAATAAACTAATTTTAAGTCAGCCTCTGATGAAAATGGGAGATTTGTATTTTACCTCATGATAGAAATGCGTTACTAAGATTACAGAAGACTATTCAAAGTCTTTTTTCATTTGCTAACAGTTATGCATCCTTAGCATTGCAATCTGGATTGTATGTAGCAGCATTACTTACAAATAGAGCTGTCTACTCCCTCTTGTGGTATTTATCGAGTCAAGTCATCTAGTTATCACACTAGGCAGAGTTCACAATGAGGGACTCGTCCATCGAAATAATCCTAGCTTCTTTGTCACACGGATATGGAAGCCAACTAGAACATACAGTTCCATACTGTAGCATTTTTCTAAATCACCCTTAAATGCATAGGTTATGTTATTCATTATAAACAAACATATTAAAAAAACAAACTGTGAATTAAAACTAGAGTATGCTACCTTCAATGTTATCTTGCCACGATCAATTTCAAGAGTGGCTTAGAATTTTCTGCTCTTGTTAATCTTATTAACTAGGTGATACCCAAGGAAGTTGTGGGAGAAAAAGCTTATCCATCCAACCCATATACCTCTGCAAACAGACGACAGTAGAAAGAGTTTATAGCTCTAGAGATGTTCTAACAGCTTCTGCTGCTGCTGCTACTGGAACAGCGTTGAGATTTCTTGTAAGGATGCAATTTTTTTATTTCTTAGAGAATAGTTAAGATGCCAGATAAATCTCAGCCAAGTTAACAGTGTCTCCTGATGCTCCTCTTAAGAAATTCATATCCTATCAGATTTTATCTTAAACTCTCATATAATTTTAATGCCACTCCTAAAACAGGCTTAACACAGGCCTTATATCAGAAAGAAAATTGTTTTGACATGCTGTTTCGTACTACGTGATAACAATACTGTATTTCCATAGTCATCTCTTTTGCTTTGATTTTTAGTATACTGATCTTTACACAAAACTTTTAGTAAAGAACATACACGTATTCGATATAGCTTCTGTGCTTTTTATTGCGTCGGTATCACTTTGGGACTACCCACAGCCTTTCGCCTCCTGTTAATCATGCAACTAAGCAACATCATGCTTCAGCCAGTTATATTTGGGTTTTACAGTTGTCAGAGATCACAGGAATAAGCAGCCATTGGACCAGTCAGGTCTCTCCTGCTCAGGGGGATGAGTCAATGCGAGCCCAGCCAGGATCAGCCCAGCTCAGCAAGAGCAGGAAGGGAAGAGCCTGCAATAATGCTGCAGTGACAATTGTTACCCTTGAAATGCTCCCAGGCATTTCAAGAAGCATCAGAAACCTTCACAAACACATTCATAGGTACCTCTGAAAATAACTAAGGTCAGGAGACTGGAAAATGGCAACATACTGCCAAGGAAAAAGAGGAAAAGCCAGGAATTAACAGGCCAATCTTCCCAGAAGTACTCAAGCAGATAGTTTTTTAGCATAGCAAGATAAGTAACAGTGTATTTACTGAATGGAACCACGTCAAACTGATGTAACTCACCACAGTACAGTCTGACAAATCATTCCCCTCCTTGAACTAGAGAAATACTCTCTACATAAATTATAACCACAGACTTTTGTAAATTAAAATAATAATCATCATACAAGAGAGTATTTATCAATTGCTCTCTGTTAGTTTGAAAGGATGCGTCAGGTGGGATCACCTGTGTCCTAATTAAAATACTGAGTGTCAATGGATTTCAGAGCTTTGGGAGAGAAAGGACCTATTAAAATCAGCAAATTACATTAAACTAGGAGATCAAGACTGGAATTTGAAGAGACAGAAACAGTGGAAAGAACAAGATGCAATTCGGCGAACACAAACACAATTCCTGCACTTGGGAAATATAGGCTCAAATTCACAAGCGCAGGACACAGACTGACCTGTTAGACAGCAGAAGAACGTCTGAGAATTAGACGGAGACAAACATGGGCTAACTATGAGCCAATAATGTCATACTACAAAGGAAAAGGAAGGAAAAACAACAGCAGCAGCCTGGGAATATAAACAGTGCTATTATTCTTAAAACATTCTGAAGAGCTCTCCACTCATTACTGCTCTCTTAGGAAACAAGGTCCAGGCTGAGGCTCTACAAGGCAAGGAGGCTAACACCCCTGACTGCCGAGAGAAAAGGAACAAGAAAGTTAAGAGGCCTGGTTATTGTTTTTCTTAATTTTGCATGACAGAGAATAGAAGCTGTTCTCCATTGCCATATAGAAATGAGGTATTAGAATCAAGGAGGGAGAATTAGTATTTTATAAATTGTAGAGAAAAAAAAATTCCACCTTACTTGGAATGGAAAGGCCAAGTTTCAGTTCTGTTCTTCTAGTGGAGCTTTCCATGTCCTCTCTCTCACTGACAGTGTCTGACGCTGCTTCATGGCCTGGGAATTGGCAGTTGTACTTTTGTCGCTTGATATTAGCAGCTTTCCAAATCCTAGATGTTCTGCCAATACCCTCTCAGAGAAGAGGGCCCTTTTAGCCCAGACCACACTAGTGACCCACTGAGAACTCCATGATTTCTAACACCATACTGTTGTCACAGCAAAAAGCTTTCTGTAAAATACTCATCACCACAACTATATCCAAGCAGCTCCAGCTCCACTGAAGTGATGATGTGCTACATGTGAAGTGGGAATTGCAGATAGATCAGAAACTAAATCTGTGTTTTCTGAATCCCCAACAGCATCTTATGCATTAAAACATCTCAGCTAGCGAAGCTGATATTCCTTTCCCTTTTCCTCATCTCACAGTAACATATGCTTGAACACTGTCTACTGAACTCAAGCATACCATAAACTCACGGTTCAGAT